TCTACATCACATAGTGTATTGAGTACACATCTACATCACATTGAGTATTGAGTACACATCTACATCACATTGAGTATTGAGTACATATCTACATCACATTGAGTATAAGTACACATCTACATCACATAGCGTATTGAGTACACATCTACATCACATTGAGTATTGAGTACACATCTACATCACATAGTGTATTGAGTATACATCTACATCACATAGTGTATTGAGTACAGGTACACGTCTACATCACATTGAGTATTGAGTACACATCTACATCACATTGAGTATTGAGTACATATCTACATCACATTGAGTATAAGTACACATCTACATCACATAGCGTATTGAGTACAAGTACATGTCTACATCACATAGTGTATTGAGTAAACATCTACATCACATAGTGTATTGAGTATACATCTACTCTACATCACATTGAGTATTGAGTACACATCTACATCACATAGTGTATTAAGTAAACATCTACATCACATATTGTATTGAGTATATACATCTACATCACATAGTGTATTGAGTACAAATCTACATCACATAGTGTATTGAGTACACATCTACCTCACATAGTGTATTGAGTACACATCTACTTCACATAGTGTATTGAGTATACATCTACATCACATAGGGGATTGAGTACAGGTACACGTCTACATCACATTGAGTATTGAGTACACATCAACATCACATTGAGTATTGAGTACACATCTACATCACATAGTGTACTGAGTATACATCTACATCACATAGTGTATTGAGTATACATCTACATCGCATAGTGTATTGAGTACAGGTACACGTCTACATCACATTGAGTATTGAGTACACATGTACATCACATTGAGTATTGAGTACACATCTACATCACATTGAGTATTGAGTACACATCTACATCACATAGTGTATTAAGTAAACATCTACATCACATATTGTATTGAGTATATACATCTACATCACATAGTGTATTGAGTACAAATCTACATCACATAGTGTGTTGAGTACACATCTACTTCACATAGTGTATTGAGTATACATCTACATCACATCGTGTATTGAGTACAGGTACACGTCTACATCACATTGAGTATTGAGTACACATCTACATCACATTGAGTATTGAGTACAAATCTACATCACATAGTGTATTGAGTACACATCTACCTCACATAGTGTATTGAGTACACATCTACTTCACATAGTGTATTGAGTAAACATCTACATCACATTGTGTATTGAGTACACATCTGCATCACATTGTGTATTGAGTACACATCTACATCAAATTGTGTATTGAGTACAAATCTACATCACTAAGCTTATTGAGTACACATCTACATCACTAAGCGTATTGAGTACACATCTACATCACATTGTGTATTGAGTACACATCTGCATCACATTGTGTATTGAGTACACATCTACATCACATAGCGTATTGAGTATACATCTACATCACATAGTGTATTGAGTACAGGTACACGTCTACATCACATTGAGTATTGAGTACACATGTACATCACATTGAGTATTGAGTACACATCTACATCACATAGTGTACTGAGTATACATCTACATCACATAGTGTATTGAGTATATACCTCTACATCACATAGTGTATTGAGTACACATCTACCTCACATAGTGTATTGAGTACACATCTACTTCACATAGTGTATTGAGTACACATCTACATCACATTGTGTATTGAGTACAAATCTACATCACTAAGCGTATTGAGTACACATCTACATCACTAAGCGTATTGAGTACAAGTACACGTCTACATCACATTGTGTATTGAGTACACATCTACATCACATTGCGTATTGAGTACACATCTACATCACATAGTGTATTGAGTACAAGTACACGTCTACATCACATAGTGTATTGAGTACACATCTACATCACATTGTGTATTGAGTACACATATACATCACATTGAGTACAAGTACACATCTACATCACTAAGCGTATTGAGTACACATCTACATCACATAGCGTATTGAGTACACGTCTACATCACATAGTGTATTGAGTATACATCTACATCACATAGCGTATTGAGTACACGTCTACATCACATAGTGTATTGAGTACACATCTACATCACATAGCGTATTGAGTACACGTCTACATCACATAGTGTATTGAGTACAAATCTACATCACATTGTGTATGAAGTAAACATCTATATCACATAGTGTATTGAGTACAAGTACACGTCTACATCACATAGTGTATTGAGTATACATCAACATCACATAGTGTATGAAGTAAACATCTATATCACATAGCGTATTGAGTACAAGTACACGTCTACATCACATAGTGTATTGAGTATACATCTACATCACATAGTGTATTGAGTACACATCTACATCACATTGTGTATTGAGTAAAAATCTACATCACAGAGTGTATTGAGTAAAAATCTACATCACAGAGTGTATTGAGTAAACATCTACATCACATAGTGTATTGAGTACACATCTACATCACATAGTGTAGTGAGTACACATCTACATCACATAGTGTATTGAGTATACATCTGCATCACATTGTGTATTGAGTACAAATCTACATCATATAGTGTATTGAGTACACATCTATATCACATAGTGTATTGAGTACACATCTATATCACATCGTGTATTGAGTACACATCTACATCACATAGCGTATTGAGTATACATCTATATCACATAGCGTATTGAGTATACATCTATATCACATAGTTTATTGAGTATACATCTATATCACATAGTGTATTGAGTAAAAACTACATCACATTGTGTATTGATTACACATCTACATCACATAGCGTATTGAGTATACATCTACATCACATAGTGTATTGAGTACACATCTAAATCACATAGTGTATTGAGTACACATCTACATCACATAGCGTATTGAGTATACATCTACATCACATAGTGTATTGAGTATACATCTATATCACATTGTGTATTGAGTACACATCTACATCACATAGTGTATTGAGTATACATCTACATCACATAGCGTATTGAGTACACATCTACATCACATAGTGTATTGAGTATACATCTGCATCACATTGTGTATTGAGTACAAATCTACATCATATAGTGTATTGAGTACACATCTATATCACATAGGGTGTGGAGTACACATCTACATCACATAGTGTATTGAGTACACATCTACATCACATAGTGTATTGAGTACACATTTTTGAGTTTTTAAGGTTGAAGATTATACTTTCACAGGGAATCTTCTACTAAGTGTTTGTACTAGTGTGTATTGTTTTTATGCATATCATTTGTTAAAGGAAAACTTGAGACAAAATGTGAAATTTTTGAGTGTCATTTACAGAAAAATTAAAATTTAGCTTATGCATGTAGTTAACTAAGATTTAAGATGTAAATTCAACACACATGAAAATTGTTTGAAATATTAAATTTGTTTTACATATATGTCTTGTCTATTATAGCTACATACAAAGTTGGCTGAGTTAAGAAACCTCTTTGGTCTATAATTTTATCGGTACACTGTTTGTGTGAAGGTAAACACTTGAGTCCATCACACAAAAAGTCTCATTTTTTCAGAAGTAAGAAAGTAGCTTAACATGTGTTGGGAGCAAAAGATCACAAACAGTCCACCACAAATCACATGATATACTATGTACAAGATAGACAAAATACATAAAAACATGAAATTAACTCGTGTGTTTAACTATTGAGTAGGAATACCTTTAATACAGTATAACACTGACCTTGTATTTCATTGCAGGTACAATGGCATGCCAAAGCCCGAATGTCTACGGGAGCCAACTTCTACATAGTGGGTCGGGACCCAGCGGGAATGCCACACCCTGACGGGAGCAGAGATCTGTTTGATCACACACATGGTTCTAAGGTAACGCTATTCCATGTACAAGTTAATGATCTAACAGTGCTTATATCTGTGTCCTATTAGACAAAAAAATCTGGAGTATATGTATTCAATGTTGTCATTTGATAGCTGATATCTATGCTCTGTTGTCAGAGGATTATCATGTTTGTTGTCTGTTCACGTGTTGTCAGGTGATAAATGATATCTATGCTCTGTTGTCAGGTGATTAAAATGTTTGTTGTCAGGTGATAACTGATATCTTTGCAGTGTTGTCAGATGTTTATAATATTTGTTGTCTTTGTTAACGTGTTTTCAGGTGATAAATGATATCTATGCTCTGTTGTCAGGTGATTATAATGTTTGTTGTCTGTTAACGTGTTTTCAGGTGATAATTGATATCTTTGCTCTGTTGTCAGAGGATTATTATGTTTGTTGTCAGTTAAGGTGTTGTCAGGTGATAACTGATATCTATGCTCTGTTGTCAGATGATAATAATGTTTGTTGTCCGTTAATGTGTTGTCAGGTGATAACTGATATCTATGCTCTGTTGTCAGAGGATTATCATGTTTGTTGTCTGTTAACGTGTTTTCAGGTGATAACTGGTATCTATGCTCTGTTGTCAGAGGATTATAATGTTTGTTGTCAGTTAAGGTGTTGTCAGATGATAACTGATATCTATGCTCTGTTGTCAGGTTATTATAATGTTTGTTGTCTGTTTACATGTTGTCAGGTGATAACTGATATCTATGCTCTGCTGTCAGGTTATTATAATGTTTGTTGTCTGTTAACATGTTGTCAGGTGATAACTGATATCTATGCTCTGTTGTTTGTTGTCTTTGTTAACGTGTTGTCAGGCGATTACTGATATCTAAGCTCTGTTGTCAGGTGATTATAATGTTTGTTGTCTGTTAACGTGTTTTCAGGTGATAACTGATATCTATGCTCTGTTGTCAAATGATTATAATGTTTGTTGTCTGTTCACGTGTTGTCAGGTGATAACTGATATCTATGCTCTGTTGTCAAATGATTATAATGTTTGTTGTCTGTTCGCGTGTTGTCAGGTGATAACTGATATCTATGCTCTGTTGTCAGAGGATTATCATGTTTGTTGTCTGTTCACGTGTTGTCAGGTGATAACTGATATCTATGCTCTGTTGTCAGATGATTATAATGTTTGTTGTCAGTTAAGGTGTTGTCAGGTGATAACTGATATCTATGTTCTGTTGTCAGAGGCTTATAATGTTTGTTGTCTTTTAATGTGTTGTCAAGTGATAACTGTTTGTTTGTTTTGTTATCAGGTACTGACAATGGCTCCTGGACTGACACAGTTGGAGATAGTCCCATTCAGAGTGGCTGCCTATAACACCAAGCTCAAACAGATGGCATTCTTTAATCCTGACAAGAAGGAAGATTTCGACTTTATCTCGGGCACTAGAATGCGCAAGATTGCCCGAGAAGGAGGCAATCTCCCTGATGGTTTTATGGCACCAAAAGCCTGGAACGTCCTCAAGGAATACTACCAGTCGCTAGTTCAGAAATAGAGCAACTGGGACTTACTGTGGGCATAGATATTTTTGAACATTTTACTGCTTTTGAACACTGCTTTAATTTTTTTGCGGGAATACTTTAGTACTCTTGGTTGATATTTACATGTGGACCAGAATTTACATATTTACTGAAATAAAATACTTATATTTGACATGGGAATTGTCGGTCATCAGAGGCTGTGATTTTTAACTGTTTTGATATTTCTTTGTTGGTATTGTTATAGTGATCATGTTTAACTGGGAAACACCACAGGAACTGATGAGATGACTTGTTAACCGCTCACATCTCGTCTCATCGTTGGGTGAGGCTGTATTGGCTGTAAATGTTTCAGTTGTGTTTATATTTGATATACTGTAGACAAAAAAATAATGTATGTAGACTACTGTTGTAACACTTGATACTTGGTGGTACTCCTGTGACAACTGGTGTTATGGTTGTGACAACTAACATTACTCCTGTGACAACTGTTGTTATGGTTGTGACAACTGGTCTTATGGCTGTGACAACTAATGTTACTACTGGTGTTACTCCTTTGACAACTTGTGTTATGGTTGTAACTACTTATGCAACTAATGTTACTACTGGTGTTACTCCTGTGACAACTGTTGTTAAGGTTGTAACTACTGATGCTACTCCTGTTACTACTGGTGTTACTCCTTTGACAACTTGTGTTATGGTTGTAACTACTTATGCTACTCCTGTGACTCACCATGCGAATTGATGGACCAAAATTTTCAAATTTACCAAATGTTGTTGGTTTATTGTATAACTCATGTTATTTTTATTGTTATTTTAAAAATATCTGTTTACTATATAGGAAAGCATAGATGAACAAAGGTCTCTGTTTACTATATAGGAAAGCATAGATGAACAATGGTCTCATTTAATTGTGAGTCATTGTTAATCCATAAAGTCAAACACAAAATTATCTGTTTACTATATAGGAAAGCATAGATGAACAAAGGTCTCTGTTTACTATATAGGAAAGCATAGATGAACAATGGTCTCATTTAATTGTGAGTCATTGTTAATCCATAAAGTCAAACACAAAAATATCTGTTTACTATATAGGAAAGCATAGATGAACAAAGGTCACATTTAATTGCGAGTCATTGTTAATCCATAAAGTCAAACACAAAAATATCTGTTTACTATATAGGAAAGCATAGATGAACAAAGGTCTCATTTAATTGTGAGTCATTGTTAATCCATAAAGCCAAACACTAAAATATCAAAAACCATTGTGTGTGTATTAAAACACGTTGTTGCCGCACAAGTATTAAAAATATCTGTTAAATTTTAAACATTTTTATCAATTTTTGTTGAAGATGAATTAATTTGATTTTTTTTAAACTTCAAGTTCCTATTTTTGTGAACTTTTTTTTTAATAAAGGTACAGGCACACCTTTTGTATACAATGTATTGTTAGATCTACACAAACAAATACGTGATACAGGTTGAGAGAGACGTCTGTGAAGCAGCAGGACCTTACAGATGCTCGTCATACCCTTGTCCAGTATAACACTGTCATATACTCTCTCAATATCGAAATATCGACTGTGGAATAACAATTTATACAAATTGATTACTTGTTCAGATATTTTTAGTTGAAGGAGAAATCCAAATTTGTGCTTTCCACATTTCCATCATGCTCCAACAAGGTGTTCTGTTATGATACAGAAATAAAGTTACATTTAATTCAAACTTCAAATGAACCTATTATCATGAGAAATATGATTAAACAGATCTTTTACAATCAGTTATAATGTATTTTATTGGGTTTATCATTTCATAATGAACAAAGTTGAAGTTGATAATTGTACCTTTTAGAAATTTATAATTTTCAAAATATGTGATGTGATGAAAATGTTTACAAAGTATATTGAGGGTACCAAAAGGTATATTTAACTACAAATTAAAGCCTAGGTAACTAGCCTCTTGTCTTACTTGTCATTTATACAGTCTTATATTTGTCTTTAACAAAAGATCGGTAAACATGGTTTACTTTACAGATCACTATACATGGTTTACTCAACATATCGGTATACATGGTTTACTCCACAGATCACTATACATGGTTTACTCTA